CGTAATCGATTATATAATTCGGCGGGATTTTTCTTTCTAGCATGGGCCTTCCATTATTTTCCGTTTTACTTGATGGGCCGATCACTGTTTCTCCATCATTACCTTCCCTCATTAATTTGCAGTTACTTGGTGACAGCAGCAACATTTAACTTCATGTTTGTGGAATCTGTCAACTACCCTGTTTCATTTAATTCACCCGACAAACCGAAAAAAGCACATTCAACGTCAAATGCAAATGTTAAAAACATAGCAAAGGGTGTTTGTGCTGCAATATTGATCATATCAGGAATTTCATTTATCTATTTCTCTCAATTTACATATGGTATCGGATCCGAATCGGATGTTGTCTCAAGCAAGAAATGGTTGGAGACTTGGGATTTTCAGTACCAGGCAAAGAATAATAAGAATTAGATTGATTAAAATTTTTCATTACTATACATGGGCTATTTGGTGCATTATACTAATTATTTATCATAGAATAGAGATCATTGATTATTCGAATTATTTATTTTTTGCATTTTTTCCAATAAAGACATTTATTTCTGTGGTTGTTTAATAGATTAATTTACACTCATCTTTGATTACAACTTGCTAATTAAAATTATTAGTAATTTTAAAATTGATTTTTTAACCTTAATTATTAATTATGTTTTTTTTAATTTTTGCTTTATAATTTTTCTTATAATATTAAAAATAAAATATAAAATTTTATAACTTTGTAAATTTAAATAAAATAAATCTAAAAATTGATTAATAATAAGATTATTATTATATATTTTTTATAAAAATTTCAAAAAAAATTTCAAAAAGTTTTACAATACACTATTAATTTTATAATACTTGTTTTAAAAAAATAAATTATATTTTAATTAAAATAAAATAATTTTTTTTAACAAACATTTTAATTTATTAATTAATTCATTATCAAAAATATTTAACAAGAATATAAATTTAATAATAATATTAAACAATCAAATTTAAATTATTATAAAACATTTTAATTTACTATAATATAAAGTACTTTTTATATTATTGACTACTTATAAATTATATTAAAATATTTTGAAGATTTCTAATTATGTATTTTAAAATTTTATATTGAATTTCAAATCTTTATATAAAAATAATCTAATAATAAATTAATTATTTTGAAAAATAGTAAAAAAAGAATATATAAAAAAACAAAATAATTGTAATTAATAAAAAAATATAAAGAATTTTTTATTGTTTGATTTAAATTACTTTTATAATTTAATAATTTAATATAATACTTTAAGAAAAAATTTATTATATTTAATTTAGTTAGGCTGCATGAAGATAGAACCTCTGGTTTTCCCAATGATTGCAGACTGAAAACAGATCAAAGCAAGGAAGGTTACATAAGGAAAGACTTCTGGTCTAACTTCAGTATAAGCTCACAAAATTCTAATCCAAACTGGTGACAGCAGACTCTGTCACACAACACAAAGAGGTTAACTTTAAACAAGATTTATTCCAATCTAGAGCTTGAAAATCTATCTCATGAGTGGTATTCTCCTAAACTTAAATGGATCAAAAGGGCAAAGGTCATCTGCCATAGGAGGTGACAATCTAGGTAAAAATTGTTAAGACCAAGTGAATCTGGTAAGGATTATCAAAATTAAATCGGAATTCAAGCAAAAACACCAGTTTCACAGGTCGTAAAAACAATAATGTGATGCTATATTAGTAGCACATCCCAAGAATCAGTGATAACAGTGACTGAAATACTGAGATTGATCTCTATAATAATATTCCATAATAACTTGCTCCCTGCAATAATGAACCAGCTGATTTAGGCAGATTTAAACTAGTAGTAGGATTACCCTTCTGTGAAAGTTCCACCTAACATGTGGACATATCTCCAAGATATTTAAATAGATATATAGTTGGATAATAGTGGTTAACATAGCTAGTCTTATAGTAATATATGTACTAGATAATATTAATCTGCAAATTAACTATAGAAATATAAAAGAATATCCTGTACCAACCGATTTTCAGTTAATTTTTAGAGACACTTGGTGTCTGTCTGGATATATAATGTATCAATAAAGATTATATACCATGTGCACATTTCACTTTAAAAAAAAAAAAAAAAAATTTATTATATTTAATATATATAACAATTGTAAATTATATATCACATAACCTAATTGCTTTAATAACCTGAATCCTTTAGATCAGCCTGAGCACCCTGATTAGTTATATGTAAATGACATAATATTAATCTTTAACAATATGATTCCATAGTTTTTTATATATATTTTCTAATTTAGAATAACTATAAAATAACTATAAAATAATATTATTATATTTAGATAAACTTAGATATAGTAATGTTCTGTTATTTATACAGAGGGTACTCAAAAGTTATTGGACAAACTTTAAAAATTTATATTTAGCTATATATATAGAATTAAAAAAAAATTATTTTTTTTTATTTTTTTTTTTAATGTTAAATGTTTTATTAAAAAAAAAAAAATTTTTTTTATGCAGTAGTTATTTAAATATTAAAGTTTTTAAAAAAATTAAATATTTTTGTCAAATCAAAAAATATTTTTGATTTTTTGATTTTTTTTTTTTTTTAAATTAATTTATTTAAATTAAATTATTTATTTATATTAATTTATTTGTCACGTAAATAATATGTCATTTTATATAAATAACTTTATTACATAAATAATAAACTCACAAAACAAAAATTATCTTTTTAAAGATAATAGACAAAAAAATTCATTTAACATCAGTACAAAGGAACACGATTATTTGTCACTATAAAAAAAATGCTATACAGTGATATCACAAAACAAGTCGGCTGTTCAAAATCAGCTGTTGATATTACTATTAAAAGATTCTTAGAAACCAGCTCTGCTAAACCACAAGGTGTAAGAACCGGCCACCCACCACTCATTAATTCTTCTTCCCAAGCTATCCTAAAAAAAATCACTAAAAAAAACTGTTGTTTATGTGCTTCTCAACTTACCAATGTTTTTATGAATTGAACAAAGATTAATATTTCCATGAATACAGTTCATTATGCTCTTTATAAATTGAATTTGAGGTGTCGTGTCGCTCACCCAAAGCCATTCATTTCCGAAGTCAATTCAGAAAACCGGCTCAATTGGTATCTGGCATGTGAAAACTGGACCACTCAGTATTTTCAATATGTGTTCTGGTTTGATGAGTCCACGGTATCCCTTTTTCAACAAGGATCCTGCTGTTAGGTATGGCGCGAGCCATAAGAAGAATAGAAAATTGAATGTTTAACCAGCATCATTAAGCATAGTCCAAGTTAAATGTACTGGGGTTGTTTTTCTTGGTACGGTGTTGGTCCCCTTATTCCCCTTGACGACTCTGTAAAGGTGTCTTCGTATATTAACACTAGTCCAAATTGGGTTATTCGGCTGCTGAATTACAGCCGATTAAATCCAAATTTATTAATAAAAATTTATACCGAAGTTTTGTTGTTTGGTCCAATTTATGCCAC